GCGCCGTTGTGGAACCACCAATCAAGGTGTTTGACTCACCAAGAATAAACGATGAACAAATGCGGCGAGAGGGCTACATCGCGTCACAGGCAGGCAAATATCCACCCTTGGTGGCTGTCGTTGCGAAGGCAGATGGGGGAAGGATCGATCCGCCACCCTTGCTCCTGGAATCGTCCGATTCTGCTAAAAAAAGGGGCACCGCGTCACAAGCTCGTCTCGCAGGGGCGTTGTTCATGGGGTCCCTTCCTCGGGGAGACAGAGCGGGCGACCAAGCTGCAGGGGACGACGAACGTTCGATGGCGCAGGGTAGAGGCAGAGCAGACTCGTCGGGATCCTTCAGCGGCGGCGTCGAACTCGCCGTCACTTGGGCTGGTGGAGGCTCGATCGAGGTCAGCGGAGCTTCGCGGCGACATTGTCCGACGGGAAGGGGCAGAAGCGGCGTTGGATCCCCAGCTCGACCAACTGAATCGACGGGGCCATTTACCGGCGTCGCAAATTGCGCAAGATGCGCGAAGATCGGGGGCGCCGTCCGCACCGCCGTGGAAGAAAGTGAAGCCAAGGTCGAGGTCAGCATTTGGCGTGGCTCCTGGCTGCCAGAACGAAGCACAGTCGAAGATGGAGTTGCCAAGGAAGAAAGAATCGGCGACGAGGAAAAAGGCGAAGAACGAGGATGGCGGCGTCTGGGTTCTCTCTCTCGCAATACCTAGGTCGGCCGCACAGGTCGTTTGGGCCGCGGGCTCGGATGGAGCTGAGATCAGTCCGGGCCGATTGGAACAGAAAGATGGGCCGAAGTTAGGGAAGACTTGGGCCGATCAAGGACGGGGTTTCAGGTCGATTTGGACAGAAGAAAATAAACTAGAAGGAAGGCATTGACTGAGTTCTGAGGGAGGATTTGGGCCCCAAGTGGGCTGCTTGCTTGGTTTATATGGGAACAGGACGTACTTGGAAGAAGTGGGGTTTTGGTTGGGCCAAAGAGGTCTGCCAAATGTGATTGCTCTGGGTCCGTTTAAAGAGATAAAGGATGTTGGGTTTTATTTAAACCGAGAGGAAAAGAAGAGCGGGCCAGAGCGTGGATTCAGGTGGGCCGAGCGGGCCGACTTCGCTGGGCTAGTTTTGGGCCGAACAGATCATCTGGGCTGGATACGGGTTGGAGTTAGGCTGCTTGTTCATGAAGGCCTTTGGCTTCAAATGAGCCCACTGGTCAAGTCCTTTCTGTATGGGTTCGAGCCAAGACCAACAAGCCCAATTGCTGAGGAAGAACCGAGTGAGGAGCCGAGATGGGCCTCGCGTAGCCCAATTGTTGGGTCTCCCAAGCTCGAATTAACAAGGGCTCTATTATACGATGATGGGTCGAGTCAGGAAGAGTTTGTAGGCTTAGTTGTTGGGCTTGTATTGAGAGGGCCAACTCAGCAAGGTATGAATGGGCCGAGACTTGCAGAAGTGGAGCCCAACATGGTTTGTGTTTTCAAGAAGGCAGGCTTTAAAGAAGTTCTTAAGTTGGGAAATGGGCTTATAAGGGAGCCAAGCCCACACGAGATTGAGAAGAAGATGAGGAGCACCATGAGGCCTAACATTGGGTTGGGCTCTGTCTCTTCCTTCCCATCAATTGTGGGTCAAGTACAAGGTAGAGGAGGAGATTGGATTATTTTCACATCCAAGTCAATGGAGGAATTTATGGAGCATGAAGAAGAACATTTCTCCAATTCTTATTTCGTGGATTTTGCGAACGAAGGGGAAGAATTGTTCGGCTATGGAGACTGTGACCCGTGTCACGAGGTTCGAGAAAAGTTGAGGAGAGTCGGGGTCACTGGAGTAGGCTTCATTCGAGTAGTGGAGCACAATTGGAAGAAAAGGAAGCGTAAGATATGGAGGAGCCAACCGTGGATTGTGCGAGAAGAAAGGGAAGAGTGGGTCAAGTTGATCAACCTTGAGGACAAGGTTGGTCTGAAGGGGGAGGAGATGTTAGAAACCGAATTATATCGGGTTTCTATATTTATTATTATAATCATTATTACGGTAATTCTTATTATGGTTAGTAGTCTTCTAGTAGAATTAGGTTTATTCTTAGGGTTTTCTAATATTTCCCTATATATATGTACTTTGGGTCATTCATCAGATTAAGCAGAAATTAATAGAAAAGTCCTCCTTCCCCAAATCCCTAATCTCTTTCTCTCAAAATCTCGTCTATCCTTCTCCTAGAGGCTTCGACCGTTCTTTCTGTTCTTCCCCAATTATGTTCCTAATCCCAATTCTCCTTCCAAATCCCTAATTCTATCTTCTCGATCCCCAAATTCCCAAATATCACCCAATACGAATCCCGTTAGAAATTTTGTTTCTAACAGTATCCCGGATCCAGGGAGATTGACTATAAAGAAGATGATGAAGAGAATTTGACTTTGGAAAGTAGTGAGTTCTCAAACTCTCTTATTGTTTAGTTTTTTGTCTTCTTTCCACCTAATTCAATGTATGAATGTACTAGCACTTTGTTTTCCTTTTTTTTCTTACTCAGCTAATGTCACTTTCCAAACTAGAATGGAAAGTGCAACGAATACTGGCAATGTTGGCAATGCAGATGCAAGCCTCAACATTCCAGTGGAGAATGAGCAGGAGGGTGAAGAAGATGTACCAGAGGAAGAGTATGAGAAAGATGGATATGATGATTATGCTCATGACTTGTTGCCCTTATTGAACGAACAGGGTTATGCAGATGTTGGTTCTTCTAAGGCTGGTGATAAGTGATGATAGATTATGATGTGTTGTTTATTTGTTGTTATCTAGAGGATTTATTGTGATTTGTGGAGTTTATGTTGTTGAATTAATGAATGTGAGACATTAAGTTGCTAATTTATATGTATTTTCGATGCAAAAGGAATTGAAATGTAGGTTTGAGATTTTAATTCTAGGCGATTTTAGGTTTTTTTTCCCTTGCTGTCCGGTCGGTTTTGGCGGTTAGAGGTCGTTTCTTGGCGGTTATCGGTTGGTTTCTGTCGATTACCGGTCGGTTAGGCAGTTAAACCGAACCGGCCATCAATTTTTCGGTTGCCCCGGTTAAACCGCACCTGAACCGAAAACCACCCGGTCGGTTTGCGGCTAACCGGGGCTCTTGGGACGCTCGGTTTCCGGTGGCCACTGGTCAAGTCTCGGTTTAACCGAAAACTGAAACCAACCGGTTGCCAGCGCTAGTTGTTCCTTAGATACCTTCTCTGCAAAGGAAACAAACGAGAGGAGGCCTATCATGAACACAACGTGATGTGCAACTGCTGTTACAGAGAATAAGCTGGGTAGCTTTGTGCATTTGATTTCACTAAATTTGATGATACATCTATGTTCAAGCCAACCAGCATACATAACAATCACAACAATAATAGCGCTTTCATTCATTCCATTTCCGCTCTTGACGAAAATCCTTAATGAAATTAAGCCGCCTCCGAATGCTGGAAAGTGGTTCAGATCTCCGCTCCATTACAGGTTCTGGGTTTTCCATCTTTTGGAGAAGAACCAATAACGGTTTTAGATCTGTAGTATCTGAAGTTACAAAGTGATGAATTCTATGATTGGAGAGCTTTCATCTGATAAGTGGAACAGACACAATCGAGGCCAATGGATCATCCTACTTAGCTGACAAAAAGCTTGATCCAGGTAAATTTGAACTACGTCAAAAAGGCCCATCAGACCCATGAACTCCCATATAGGATGACAACAAAACCCGAACCCACGGGTACCCTACCTGATCCAACCCGGTTAACGAGGGTAAAACCCGTGTTGATGGGTTTTGTGCCGGGTTCGGGTTTAAATCCGCTACACCATCAGTCCATCACCGGGTTGGGTTTGGGTTTAGGCAAACCCGACCCATGGGTACCCGCCCACACTCATATAATTAATTTTTTCGATATATTTAATACTCTAAACAATATAGGCTTAATTGCAAGTTTGGTCACTCGAATTGCTACAGAATTTCACGTTTGCCACTCAAATTAATTTATTTCATTTATAGTCACTTAAATTAGGTTAACAGTCCAAGTTTGGTCACTGGCCGTTAGTCTCCGTTAACTTTTGTTGATGTGGCGGTCAACTCTTATAGTTGACCGTTAAATGCAAAACGTGACAATTAAAAAAATTCAAAATTTTCACCTCAACTATTAATTAAAAAATAATAAAAATAATAAAAACCTTTTCTAATCTAACCTCGGCTCGGGTTGCTCCTGGAATCTACCGGGCCAAGACCCGACTCGGGTTGGAGCGGTGACAGGGAACTCGGTCAGCGATGGAAGACGGAATGGACTCGACCGCACTGCATTCAGTGGGGCGAAAGTTGTACTGGTGCTGGCGCACTCGACCGAGGATGAAGATGGCGGAGGTCGAAGACGAAATGTATCTTAAACACCGTCAACTCCAAAAACAGAGCAACACTCAGTGAACAACAAAGTCAGGAGCTGCTATTCCTGTTGCAAATGCAATGGCGGCGGCGTACGGACAATATCGATGTAGGTCTGTGCGAAGACGGCGACGGGGGATTCGTGGGAGAATGGTTAATAGGGAACTTGACGAGAGCGACGCTGAGAAAGTAAAAATGGCCGCGAGAGAGCGGAAATAGACGGCAGCGATTCTGAGAGTTATTGTATAGGAAGAAACTTCCGTAAGTACGTATTGCTGCTCTGCTGTGTCTTTTTTGTTTCGTTCCATTTTGTTCTCTTTCATACAGATTACGGCCGAAAAACCAATTGATGTTGCTAGTCATGTTTTCTGGACTACTTATTCAAACTTGTCTATTAGGCTCTCTACGGTTTGCAATCAAAATCTGTGTATGGAAATTTTTGGTTGGAGTTCTAGGGAATTGGCTATGTTGGGATTGGGAACCCTACTTGCATTGAGATGCTGGACTAAATTGCTATGGCATAATCTTCAGTTCTTCGCCATTTGAGCTAACTTCCAGGAAAACTTGAGGTCGTTCTCCAGAGAGATGGTCAGACCATCTACTGGAACACCAGACCACTACAAGTTCATAGCCTTTCCTTCTTCTCCAAAAATAGCGACAGCAATATCGCCACCGTGTTCTCCTTCCCCCTCGGCTGCCCGGTCCTCAACAGATCGATCAGCACCGGGATCGTGCTCACCTTCACGATCGCCGCTTTCGCTTCAGCGTTGCTCGATAGCACCGACAGTATCGTCAATGCCTTGTCCACCATTGCCGCCCCTCTCGAATCGGTCAGCATTCGGAGCAACGCAGGTACGATCCCGGCTCGCACCGCCCTACCTTTGTTCCCTTGGTAGATGCACAGGTTGAACAATGCCGACGCCGCATCTTTCTTCCATCTGCTGCTCCCCTACTCCAGCAGCTCCACTAATGCTGGAATCGCCCCCGAAGCTCCGATTATGATCTTGTTCTCGTCGCCCAAGGACAAACTGAAGACGATTGCTGCCGCGTTTTCCTTTGTTTCCCTGTCACCGCTCCAACCCGAGTCGGGTCTTGGCCCGGTAGATTCTAGGAGCAACCCGAGCCGAGGTTAGATTAGAAAAGGTTATTATTATTTTTATTATTTTTTAATAGTTGAGGTGGGAATTTTTAAATTTTTAAATTTTTTAATTGCCACGTCATGCATTTAACGGTCAACTATAAGAATTGACCGCCACATCAGCAAAAGTTAACGGAGACTAACGACGGTGACCAAACTTGGACTGTTAACCTAATTTAAGTGACTATAAATGGAATAAATTAATTTGAGTGGCAAACGTGAAATTTTGTAACAATTCGAGTGACCAAACTTGCAATTAAGCCAAACAATATATCTTCCTTAAACAACTACTCTTCTTTATGTTTGTGGAGGCATGTCTAATTTGTTCTTTCTAATTGTGTACGATAAAGTTGATATAATGGAGTGGAGAGTGAAAAAGCTTAGTTGACGAGGAAGGAGCTGAAAATTAATCTTGTTGTTTATAGATGTTTATCTTTAATTTTGAACAATTTGTATTGATAATTTGCGGTTTGCTTGTATGCTCTAGATTGGTGTTTTTTTGTATGGATAATTTTTATGAGAAAGTTTATGTTAGACTTTTATTTGGAAGAAACTTGTTACTGTAATTTTTTACCGCAAAAATCCATGGGTACCCATGAACCCGCGGATACCCAGAGGGTTGGGTTTGAGTTTTTCAAACCTAGCGGGTTTTACCCCGAATTTTTTTTTGCGGATAAACCCATTGGTTTGAGTTTGGATTTGGCAAAACCAGCTCCAACCCGACCCATTACCATCCCTACTCCCATAGAGCTCTAACCTTGTCCATTCTCCATGAAGAGCCTCCTTGGACAGTTGACATCCACAATCACAATGTTTAAGAAGGTAATGATTGCAATTTGAACTTGTTTCTGATGTGTATTACTTGAACTGATATACAGTAGTGTGGTATAGGACATAGTACTACTTTTGGCTTGTTTCGTTTTTGTCTCATTCTGTTTTTTACTCGTGTTATCTCAATTTGTATCACTATTTCTTTTATTTTGACTTATCTTAATTTATATTTTCGCACAATGATACTTTAAATATGTGCAATACTTTATCTTTCTACTAATTGGAATCAATTAGTCTAGCTTTTATCTCTTTTTGTTTTATCACTAAAAAATAAATATTTTCTTCAATATAATTTATAAGAACGAGTCGACCTACCCAGTGGTGTAGCCAGACTTTGAATTGATCGGGGTCTTTAAAATTTTTCAAACTCTAAAGTCTGTGTATCTAATGAACTTGAGCTGACTAGTATCATTAGATGAGCTAACATCGACAAGAGTATGAGATCCTGAATTCGAATGATCATCTTAGGACCCCTCTCCTCAAAACGTGGCTCCGCCACTACAACTACCACAATCCCTACCTGCGGATATTACCCAACATGATCAGCGGTTGGCGCGGGAAAATATGGGTATTGAGGTACAAGGTAAAAATAAAGTCCACGATGTATTATCATATATTGAAAATAATTGTAAAATAAACTCACTGTCTACAAATGTTCAATAAATTTCTTTTAATATATCCTACTAAACAATCATTCACGAACTGATCGCTTATTTGATTACAAAACTTTTTTGTTGTAAGTTGTAACTTAAAGCTCAAAAGGCTCTATCATTAGTTCCTTTTAATCCAAAAAACAAATCATTATTTTTAATACAATTACAATAATTCTTAAAATCCCTTGGTTATGCCTTTACATGAACCCTTGTTGAAGCTTCAGATGACTGCACCATAATCGCCTTTCCCTTAATTTTACTGTTCGAGGGTTGGAAGCAATTGAATTCGTCGAGAAAGATTCTGTGGGAATAATGCTATTTATCTAGAGTTATCAAAACAAGGCCAAAGCCCAAAAGTATCTCTCAAACTGTCTCCAAAATAAAATGCCGGCCTTTTGTCCCAATAAAGGGTCCTTTGGAAATTATGAAATGAGTGATTACATGAAAGTTAGGGTATAGTATCATATCCCAAACTCGATTTAATTTATGGTCTAGATAGAGATATCTCACTAATAGTACATGACGTATAGTATACGCCTAACGTACGCCAGTCTGACCCCTATATATATATATATATGGCAAAGGCTAGCGTACGCCCGGGCGTACCTTAGACTACCGTACGCCCGTTGAGTTTTGCTATTTAGACAATGAATTAACCAAAGTTTGGGACATGATACTATATCCTAACCCCGAATGGTGAACCCCAGTCCCCAATTCATTAACCCAAAGCATAATATTCATTTAATCTTGAAGTGAAAATCAACGGTTCTGATTAGTCAAAATTATTGTTGATTTACTTTTCAAGATTAATCGAATCTCATGATTTGGGTTATAAAATTAGGGGTTGGGGTTTACTCATTAGAGTTTAGGGTATAGTATCATGCCGAAAACTCCGGTTAATTCATGATCTAAATAGTAAAACTCAACGGGCGTACGATAGCCTAAGGTACGCCCGGGCGTACCCTATATATATATATATATATATATATATATATATATGGCAAAGGCTAGCGTACGTCCGGGCGTACGCTAGCCTACCGTACGCCCCATTGAGTTTTGCTATTTAGACAAAGAATTAATCGGAGTTTGGGACATGAAACTATACCCTAACCCCTAATGGGTGAATCCCAGTCCCCAATTCACTAACCCAAAGCATGAGATTCGTTTAATCTTAAAAATGAAAATCAACGATTCTGATTCGTCGATATTTTCATTGGTTTTCATTTTAAGATTAAACGAACCTCATAGTCTGGGTTAGAAAATTAGGGACTGAGGTTCACCCATTAGAGGTTAGGGTATAGTATCATGCCCCAAACTCCGATTAATTCATGATCTATATAGCAAAACTCAATGGGGCGTACGCTAGGTTAGCGTACGCCCGGACGTACGCTAGCCTGAACCATATATGTATATATATATATATATAATTGTTCAAAATGCGTGCATTTAAATGAAGTTTTAGAATTTCAAATGATTAGAATCATTCATTTCAAAATCTCTTCAAAAAGGGGAGGTTCTCTTCTTTTATTTTTTGTAGGTGATTTTCTACTCTTATCCCTATTTTTTTTATATACTTGACCTACTCCCCTCCTTAAATGAATATATAATAACAATTGCAAGGTTATGTAACCATTTAAGTTATAATTATTTTTTCCTTGACAATCACAAATACCATTCTTACAATCATCCATCTCTTACCAATTTGTAATACATGCATTCCAATAATACACATATTCATATACTCTCAACTTCAAAACGATCCAAAGATAACTAACGTATTGGGAATAAGATGGAGACTTCTCACCAAGCCAGCGTTGTAGGGGATGATTCTGGAAGCTGAATTATTATTTGTAGCCCTAACAAATTATATGTAGTTCTAAAAGATTTAAATTTACACTAATACCCCTTATAAAAATCCTTGTGTATGTCATATGCTTTGTGCGGACGCGTATTTCATATGTCGCAGTATAGTCGGCAGCGGCGGATTCAGGACATAGTAGAGTACTGGGCCGCATTTCATTAGAAAACTAGACACCGCAAAAAATTATAATTTTTTTTACAATAACAATTGTACACGTATATCTTTTAATATAGTGAATTCATCAATAAAGGAGTCTACATCGCATACTAATCTTTTTCAAATAAAATAGTTAACCAATGGGCTAGAAATTCATTGCTCATTTTGTTGCGCAAATCATTTTTCACTTGTTCTATAACACCCTACCTTGTATTCATGTTCCTAATATTTCCCTTGACCAATTTAGGCTTGGTTTACCTACACTCTTTATATGAAGTGCATAGAAAAAAATGAAGTTGTATTTAAAACTGGTATTGTCTTAAGCCTTAGCTTGCAAAAACTTTACTTGTTCCCTAACTTTTAATTGAAAGATTTGTGGAGAGTTCAGTTCCGCCGCCCACCTCTTAGCCATTTGACCGACAGTACTCATCTGTCTCGCTCTACTGATGTTGTTCTAGTCCTGTGAGGGAAAAATATTGACGGGGTTGAGACGTCACTCAATGAGTAAATAATAACCTAATATAAATATTAATACGAAATGATATCAGGCTGTATTGTGACTCGGAGTGTCTTCTGTCCATTAAATTCGGTGCATATTTAATCACTTGATAACTTAACCTATGTCTCACTTATGTAGATTTACACAAAATTTCTTTCCTCGTTCATTCGATCTTTCACATATACGTTATATGTCATACATGATTCGTTTAGGTTTTCACCTTTACTTTACTTTACCCTACCTGATGTTGCAAATAGTTCATATTTATTCTCATACACCAACGGAATTTTCATCATTTCATCATATCTTTATACTTCTACCAACACCGCATCATGAGAGGTATTGTAGACTCATAACATTATGCATGTCAACATCTAATGGTAGTATCATAATCAAATGGACATATCATCACTGCTTATAAAATAGTTTCCTGATTAATCATTGTACCACTCGTCATAGGAGATTATCACAAAATATAACTCATCATGTCACTTGATATCACATATAAAGCACATCGACCTTCACATATTTCATATATCGTGTAGGGGGTTCACCTTCTATATATCAAATATGGCAAATACTAAGATTGCCATTTCAATCACATATCACACAAATATGACAAATACTAAGATTGACATTTAAGTACTCATGTTGCATATAAAATCACCCATGAATCAACATCCAATCACACAAGTGCATACATATAGTTAGCTGGATTCAGTAGCTTTTATTCTTTAATTTGCCAAGTCATGCACTCCCCGGGATCTCGTGAACT